TCCACCGGGGTAGAGCCAACGAATAATTTTTGCCGATCTCAACTGAAGCGAGAGAAAGGGGATTGCTTGTCATCGCTTTAAATCATACACGGGCAAATACACCTTTGAAATTCCCAGTCCTATTCTAAGCTTCACACAGGTATATTTATAGTATTGAAGTATCATTCTGATTTCATTTCCAGGTGGTCGAATTACTAATTACTGTTTCATGTTTCCTGAATTAACCTCACGGCACATTGTTCGCTATATAAAACGATGTTTTACTTACCATTTTGCAAAATATCATTCTTGACGATGCCAAGGAACCGTGTTTAAACATCGGTCTAAAATAAACTTACATAAACCTGATGCAAATGAAATATAAGCATGGGCTTTGGTCAACAAAACTGTAAATCAAATTACATTGCTGTAAATCAAATGCAAGTTAAAATACTCGGCTAATCGGCCGTGTGACACAAATACTTTTTAACATCCAAAATACCGCACAAAGAAGAACATAAATTACCTCCGAATTCAAAGATTCAAGAGACTGATCCACTGGTTTTACTTCGATTCATTACGTGACGTTTTACATGTGCTAACCGTCGAAAGGTTTGAGCTCCATTTAGCTGCCGAATTTCTTTGTAACATAAGTCTTCTATATTTGGGAGACGGCAGAAATAATAATGTGGCATTCTTCATCGGCAAAATTCGACTGGAACCTAGATAAAGCGGGTAGTTGTAAGCGACTGATCCAGGTCTTGAAACTTTCAAAGTTTGTCACAGCAACAATCAAAACACTCTGCCACCCCTCCCGCCCAACAGATTTCTTTACCACCCAGATTCTGTGTGGTCACGTGAGCAGCCGCAACCAGGGTATTTATTCCAACGACCAAGGGGTGCAGAGGAGAGGGAGCCTGGGAACGAGGTTGCGTTTCGCCGTGTTGCTTTGTAGACGAACCACGATTTGCATGAATCCAGTTGTACAAGGTATCTGCAAAGCTATTGGACCAATCAAACATCTTGTTTAGCATTGTTCTCATTGTTGCTATCGATGGTCAAAACTAGTTCAGCTGAGGAAGAATTGTCCGCGTCTTTACAAGAGGTTTCTTTCATTTCATTTTCATTCAGTATATTTTCACAACATCGAACAATGACAGTGACAATAGAATTGTTAGATGGAATACACAAAATAATATAAAAGGGATGTCAAGGAACCAGGAGCCATAAGGCTTATAACGTTTGGCTCTCTCGTTAACATTTCGAATTGGAAAACATTAATTACTCGAAGTAAGCTATAATTTTGTTGAAGGTAGACGTTCATTATTTTTTTTTACATATAATTCTTAACCTGAGCCGGCCACTTAAAACTCTGCCAGTAACTGTGACCAACTAAAAGCTATCATGGCATTTCACTCCATACCTACCCTTAGCTTAACCCACAAAGTAATCCCTAACAAGAGCTCTTTGTAAGGCTATGCCATACTTTAAACCACTCCCCTAAATATAGAAGTTTAACCCTCAGGTCACCCCTAATATTACTTTACTTCTCGTTTTTTGTTTGCATTCCTTCACTAACCTTTACACTCCCACAGTATCTTCGACTAACAAGTTTTCTGGCCACTCAAAACCACCCAATCGTAATTCGCTCGGTCGCACACGTTTTCCTGCGCTTCCTGTCAGCTACACGAATGTTTTTACTCGTCTGGTTTTAATTGGTTATTGGATTGTCTGTGTCCATTGTGATTAGTGATTAATTTGGTTTTGGTTTTATGAAGTTCAATTGAAAACCACTCAATGGTGGAATTAAATTATTAAAGAAACTAAGAACCAAGAAATTGCAAGCTCAAAATTAGTGCAAACAGCAGGAACCAGAAACTTACATTGCAAAACAATCCACTGTTTATCATATTTTTCCAGGTAATATGTAGTGCAAAAATTCCATATTCAACAGATCTCTTAAGTAATGGTAACTTAGAAGTAATTTGATTTTGGGCGGAGATTATGGTGTTAGGAGAGAACAATGCTATTATACAAACCTCGAGTACAACCGACGGAAGTTCCCCTTTACTTAAAGCTTACATGCCTTTAAATACTCAGCTAACTGAGAAATAACCTCGAGAGCAGAAAATTATCGCTGTTGTTATTCTATCTACTGAAATAAACCTATGAATATCGTACGGAACGTCAAGGCTGGTAAAAGAATAGAGCCCGGTATGGGGTAGCCATTTCCTTACTACGAGTAACGCTCTTCAGGTACTGATCAGCAGAAGAGGAATACAACGCAGCGTTAATGATCTGATTTCTATTTCTACAGAGCTGTTTTCGCTTTAGTGTCGAAAAGTAATTGGTTTTGCATTGCTACGCTGCACGATCACCTAAAGATACTTCGCCTCTTTTTCATCTAGTAAGAAGTTAAACCAAAACCAATTGCAACAGTACTCGCTCACACACGTTTTCTCGCACTTTGTGTCCGCTACATATATCCAGTTTACTACAGGTTTTGATTGGTTCATTGGACTGTCTGTTTCCTAACTGATTGGTTGGAGTGATTACTTCGGTCTTGGTTTTACGACACTCGATTGAAAATCGCTCTATATGGTAGTGCTCCGTGCTCATAATCTGTTTACCAATTATCGGTTATTAGCTAGTAACGCCATTCAGCTCTATGTCGGCTCTTGGCACCCCACCCAGCTATAGACAGAAAAAAAAAACCCCTTCATTTAAATTGTAAAACTGTCACTTTATAGTTTAGAATTAACGTTCTTCAGCTCCACATCAGCTGCTGGCGAGCTATCTTCGTCGTTGTACGGTAAGAAGGGCAAATACTTGGCCACCTTGTAGTTACTGATGCGATTGAGACCAAACGGCAGATCATAGACTTCAATAGAAGCTGTTTGAAACTGATCATCACTGTGGCCTGACAGATGTTGCCTCCACGCCTTGAGCCCGCGTTCCTCAATAGTACCTGGGATGGTGTTGTCCAAAATCAGCCCGACCAAACCCCCAACTGCCATGCTAGTACTCATCAGAACAGTGATGATCTGGTCGATCTCTGGCACACCTAAATGGTTAACATTGGTTAGCATTAAAAAAAAGATATCTGTAATAGTTTTAGCCAACAGCACTTCTCAAAAAGCAGTTGGTCTCCATACTTTCTTTGCAAGGAGTTTCACCGTCGAATATCTACAGGGTAACATCGACAGTGACATCAATGCACTTTCCATAAGACACACATCGCTGGAGACATCGTGTAAGAACGACTTTAAATTCAGCCAGAACCAAATATACATTACTCCAGCCAATCATAAAGGACACGGGCAATTCCGTGAGGCAATAAGAACTTAGAGCAAATACATGCAGACAGCGGAAAGCGCGGGAAATCGTGTGCAATCGAGTCACGATTGGTTTTGATTGTACTTCTGATTGGATGACAAAGTGGCGGGAGATTTTTAGGGTAATCGCTTAACGTAGAAATGGAAAACCGAAGCAAATGCGAATTCTCCTCGGCACTTAAGTGAAATCCTTACGAATGAACCACTCAGAAATATCAAATTTGTCACAACTGAAAACCATTCTTTTTCCACAGACCCAGAAACTTGCACATTTTACCAGGAAATGAAACTATCATAAATTTTAAGTTATGGATTCAGTGCTAAGTAAGGGTCTTCCTTATCATTCGACGCCCGTCAGGCCCGGAGCACCCAGTTTTTCCAAAGTCTCCTACAGAGCGTTTGCAACACCTAGGGCTACCTATTTGAAATTCAACATTGTGAAAGCACTGGTGGTACGAACCTGTTTGTATGGCACCAGGATGCGTGACCATGTAATGCGGCAGAGCTAACCCAAAAACAATGGAAAATCCAACAATAAACAAGTTTCTAGAGGAATTCATGTCAGCGAACTGTAAATTGGAAATCCCAACAGCGGCAATCATTCCAAACATGACCATGAAAACTCCACCAACAATGGGATCTGGAATACTGACGAATAACGCGCCAATTTTGCCAAGAAGTCCAAAAGCCATCAGGACAAGAGCGCCAAACTGGATAACACGAAGGCTACCAACCTAACAAAGTATGAAAAATCTTCAATTAATTTTTTTTAGGAGATCGCTTAAATTTTTTAACTCTATCATAGAGAAGACATGATCAATTTATAATAATTATAACCACGAAAAAAATGCGACATTAATTTGTTTTCTCCAAGGAGAACATTAGACTTGCCCAAGTTTCTTGCTTGTATTTTGTGAAGAGCTGCGGCTATCAGCATGTTACGTAGGACAGTTTTCAGTTTCACGCAGTACTTAATTGCTCATGAAAAATGTTGCCCGTATTACCGGACCTTAAGTGGAACATAATTATATTCCAGTTCGTGCAGAGTCTGTTACCATTTTACATAGGTAGATAACGGACATAAGCGTCAAAACCTGATAAGGAGGAAATGGAGAGAGAGAGGCCTATGACGAAATGGACGAGTACGGCTTTCAAAGAGCGCGAGGGCATTGGGCATTCATCATGGTGCGTAGCGGTAGTAATGATAGGAGAAGATGGCGGGATCTTATTTCCGAACCTTTCTCCCGCCGTGAATAAATTGTTTACCTTAGTGATCCCAATGGCTCCAATGTTTTGACTGTACGAGGTTGTGCCACTACCGCTACCAAAAGCTCCTGCCAAGAGACAGCCGATTCCTTCGATTCCAATTCCACGGTTGATGGCGTGTTTTGGTGGAGGAGGTGCTCCTGATAACCTCGCGCAGGCGTAGTAATCTCCCACGGACTCAATAATTGAGGACAGAACTCCAGCTAACATCCCGAACACCGCTGCGACACTCACAGTAGGCATTCCCCACTGACCTGGAAAGTTAACAGCATATAACGCGGGTTAAGAACAACATGATGCAACCAAATAGAAATTGATGCTGATTTCTGTGAGTAACCTGGGTACGGAAGTCTGAACCACTTGGCCTCTTTCAACACGTCTGCCCTGGCGTCAGTTCTCGCCGCATATTGAAGAACACTGGGATCTGAAGGAAAACCTCCCGCTGCTGTAATGATGGCGCAAATAATCCATGATACTACGATCGCTAGAATCACCTGTGTAACAGACGATGTAAAGCGTGTTAAGTTGAAACAGAGTGACTAAACAAAATGCAAAGCAATCAAGTTGCGAAACATCTGTCTACATAAACTAACCGGAAATAATCTGAACATTGGAAAGTGACCAGTATAAAAACCTCCCCGTTCTTTGCTATATCCGGGCACTGGGATCTTTATCTTTGTTAGGTATTGTGAAAACAAAGATATTAAGACGATGGTCCTGAAACACAAGTAAAATTAAAGTAATAAATAGTGTACAAGGTCCTATTTAAATTCCTTCAAGATATCGGCTGACATCTGTTCTTAACTAAGATACCCTGGTATTATATTTTGGTGTTACACAATGATTGAGGTGAGACAAATTACCCGGCGAGAGGAGAGAGCGGTAGTCGGCAGACCCCACGATTCTGAAAAACGCCTACAGACTTTTCTTTTCTTTTTAAAATTCATTCAGAGATTGACAGCCTGTCAACAGATTAACAGGAGCACCACCTACAAATAATTTCAAATTTTCTCCAAAATATGTCTAATATTTGAAGAGAAGATGTGAAAGGGAAATCACTAAACGACGTTTTGACATCGTCGGATGTGGAAACGTCGTTTATCAATTTCGCTAATTTTTGTGTTGGAAATATTACAGGGGAAAAACGTTTAATTTTACAATAAAACGGTTAATTAGCAAACAAGAGCTAGCTGCTACTTACGTCATCGAAATTCCCCAGTGTTGACCTGTAAGAAGCACAGATAATTAAGAAATAGAAAACATGTTCCGTGTTTCTATCGAGTTTAGACACACCAGTGGAAGTTTGGGAGAACGAGAAATTCTGTTTCCACAGCTTTTTCGAGTTCTCCTAAACTTTCACGAGTGTTTCTATTAAACAATTAGATTATGAGTTAGAGATTTCTATCGCGTGATAGTTGACTCGGGCTGCGCCCTCGTCAACTATCACGCATAGAAATCGAGAGCGAATAATCTAATTGTTTTAGAATAAATCTACTTACTAATCGTTCAAAACTTTGTCTAAATCCTCTTCACAGAAACTTTGAAAACGCCAAGAAGTGGCCGTCACTTTGTTAACTAGTGCACACTGTTACGCTACTCACTATTTATCACAGATTAGATAGTGAGTAGCGTAGCCAATTGGAGAAAGGCATTCGTGATAGAACGCTAGTAGATTTATAATAAAACTCGATAGAAACACGTAGAACATGTTTTCTATTTCTTTAGAAAACACCGCGACGAAAAAAAGGAGATCAACTTGTTAACTTTGATCATCAAAATGTAAATTCTCTTTGCTCACGCCATCATTACGTCAACAGCTCGTGCTAGTTCTTTGTTTCTATCGAGTTATAG